CCGCCAGGCCCAATAAGGAACCTGGAAGAGCTCGCGTTTTCCACAGCCAACCCCTCCTCGGGCTGGAGGCTCTGCAGGACGCCGCCGGCTCGGAGACATTCCTTACCTTCCCCTCACCGGGGGCTCCCCTGGTCTTCTCCGGGTCAAGGAACAACCCACGCCAAAGTGCTGAGGGTGCCGGTGCCGTTGCTACCCGAAGAGACCGATTCTGCCTCCACTGACCTCCCCGCGAGGAAGCCGGCCCAGGGGGCTGGGCAGAGCGCGCATGCGCGGTCTGAGGGGCGGCAGCGCAGGTGCGGCTCCCGGCAAGGGTGGGCGGGGCCGGACGCACCTGAAACCTGCTGGTGGCGGCCTCGCTCATCCCGCCCTCCTGCTATGGGACAGTTTGAATTCAAACTGACATGGAGGCCAATATCCCTCGTCTTCTCCAAAATGATGTCGAGGAAAATTTAAAACCATTAAAATTGCAAAATGTGTCTGTCTGGGTTTAAAACCTTGCTCGGGTTTTTTACAGTAGCACAGGTGAGGCAAAACCAACCACCCCCCCCACACACACCCAATGACATGGGGAATGGTTGTTGGGGTTCAATCCTTTCTTTGTTCCTACCCACCTCCACCAACACACTCACAAGCAACCCCTCTCATCTCCACTCTGGCAGCATTACCTGTTTTCACAGGTAGGTGCTCTCTCTGCCGGGTTTTTTTTTTTTTTCTGTGCTTGGTCCCTCTGGGCCCTTTCTGTCCCCACTGGATTCCTCTGCTTTTCATGCAAGATCCACCCTCTATCTCTCTATTTGCTGCATTTCATTTACATATATATGTATATATATACACACACACATACATACATACACATACATACATACATACTGTAATTTATTTACCCATTCCATTGGGTTTTCATTTAGACTGGTCCAGATTGTTTGCTACTATAAAGAAAGTGTTGGTGAATACATACATACATATATACATGTTTACCTGTCTTTCAAAGCATTTCCTTAGGTTATTTCCCCAAAATTGTTATACCAAGCAGTATAAATGTTTTAAATTCATAGCTTTCTGCAGAACATATATGAATTTATTCTTTTCTCAGAAATGAACACGAGTACATAGTTCACTTCACTCTTGCCAACATCTCATTCTTTCTGTTTATCTTCTTTAAGGGTTTCTATTCAAAAATGCATCAGAACCAAATGAAAAAGTTCCAAAGGTCACCAGTGATCAGCTTTTCATCTATCTCCCATCTAAGTTCTTGAAAGTGATGTTGTTTTTTGGAGTTAGTGTGAGGTCCTTGGGTTCATTCTGGGAAAGGTTTCACCAGAGTTCCCCTTAAAGTGCACAGGGCGAGTTCCCAGGTGACTTTCTCCAGGAGACAGAGACTCAGTTGTATTTAAAGAACAGATTTGTTAGGGAAAAGGACAGAGGAGTAAAGGACACTTGCATAGGCCCAAGCGGGCAGGAAGAGCTGCCCCAAAGGGACAGGCTTGCTGAGAGAGGCCTGCATGGCTGCAGGCAGGCGGCCTTAGGAGAGCGGCCTCTGCTGAGGCAGATCGGGGCAGAGAAGCCACTGTGACAGGTGTGGGTCACAGGCAGGCAGGAGGCTGCTGCCCTGCAGAGGGAGAATGTGGGTGCAAAGAAGCACCTGCTTCATAGGTGGGCAGAGGACTGCTGCTCCGAGCCAGTGCAGAGACTGCCTGATATAGTCCTTTTCTCTTTGAGATGGGCTAACTCCTTTGTGGAGTGGCCTGTTTACTGCTGATTTTGGATAACTATGTGGAAGCTTACAAGGGGCCCAATCGCTATATCTTTACCATTAGGTCTGTGCTTCCAATATTCCCCACAGCAGTCTGATATAGGAGTCTCCATGACTGGGTGAAAGGTCATTTTTAGTTCCTTCTACCCCCACCTCCTTGCACGAGTCAGGTTTTAACCTTGTGATGCCTCCTTCAGGTTTTCTATTCTTTTCCTCCATCGAAAGAATCAGTAGGCTCTGCACAGTTAAAGTATAGAAGGTGAGGTCAACTTTTTTAACAAGTAGGAACTTTATTGTGTTCCCTGGGTGAGGTTGCCCCCAAGCCAGGATAGAGATCAGTGAGTCTTACCCACTGGGGAGTACAGGTACATTTTTATAGGGTAGGGAAACTGCTTTGCTTTCCTGTTTCTGATAATCAGCAATGCTTATCTGTATGCCAGCTATGCAGAGTTGATTTCCAGAATTCAGGAAGTTCCCAGGTTTTAGGAGATGCAAAGGTAGGAATCTCCAGGCATGCAGACAGTAACAGCCCAGATTCAAGGTACCTGCCCCCAGTCTTGCCCAGACCATCTCCATCTTACAGTTCTCCAGCTGGCAAAAACAAAACAAAACAACAACAAAACCTGTAAGAATTTCAACCTCAATTAATAAACTGTTCTTTCATCTCATCTCCTGTTTCTTGCTCACACTTGTGTTTTACTCTTTGAATATTAATTCACCTAGTTCATCATCTTATACTTTTCATTTCTAGTGTGTTTCCTACCCTGAAATTAGGCTCATTGTTTTAGAGCTATTTTAAAGCTTGCCTTGCCCTTGAACTGTGCAACACAAGATGAGTGGGTTAAAGCAAGAAAGCAGAGCAATGATACAACAATTCCAAATGTGGACTGGAATTTTGGGCCTTTTGGGAGCAAAGGTATCATGGGAGGATGGCAGGAAATACTGGCTACCTCACTGCTGCTGCCTGATTTACAGCCTGAGAAAGAATTTATCTAGAAGCTAAGGCATCTGTGTTTTCCTTTATTCTTCCCCTGTAACTGTTCTATAACATGATAAAAAGTAAATCCCGGGTAATTTGGTGATGGGAAACCCAAGGGGATTGCAACTGAGATGGAAAAATGCACAAAAATATGTAAATACATATATATATGTAAGAATAAACTAATATAATAAAAAAAGAAAAAAGTAAACTCCTTATTTTCTACTTACAACTGAGATTTTCAACTAATGTTAGCATTTTTTTTACATTTCTGAAAGATCACAATAAGTTTTTAAAAATTGTGGGTGTAGCACTGTGTCCAACACATAGCAAGTACTTAACAAACACATGTTGACTAGTTTGAGTGTTCATAGCATGTTTTTACATGGAAAAGAATACACACTTTCCAGTGTTCATATACTACCTGAAAAATATCTGTGTATAGACATCATCATTAAATTTGAGTCTCCTTTCCAGATGGGCATACTTATTAAAACCCAAGGGATCACTCCTGGGAGTGTCTGAAGGCACACCTCATTCTGTTGTGCTTTGTTTTATTGTACCCCTCAGATAGTACTTCTGGCCCTCCCTAGTGGCTCAGGGGGTTAGGACTGAGCACTGCAAGCTAGCTGCACACAGTGGCTTCAGTGTGCATTCCATCATCCCCCCACCACCACCAAGGTGATCCACGTGGCACAGCAGACCTCTCCAGACTCATCCACTACTCCCCTCAGCAGTGTTCTTTGTCCATCATCTGTATTGCTCCCTACTCTGTCTCTGGTGGTTCATCTCCCCACCCCTGCACCTCTGGCCTGCACCCCATTTCTGTAAGTCTCAGATAATCCATCTATCAACTTAAAAATAATGAAAGTATTTCCACTTGAACTCCAGCACATTTATATATAAATATATAAATAACTGCTCTGTCATCTTCTTGATGGAAGGTAACCAAGTTCCCCTCCACCTATTTCATCCCCCCCAACCTACACTCTGTGGCAGCATAGTCACAGGTAGGTCTGTTGAATCATGTGTATGCCTGCCAGCCTGCATCTTCTCCTCCACGCCCCAACGGCCCTCAGCAAAAGGAAATTAAGGGGAAATGGCTTTTCACAAACAACATATGTCACAAATCATCTCACAGGATGAAGCTTAAGGTGAGAGATGCTGGGGTTGACAACCCCCATGAGAAGAAGTCCTCTGCCACTGCCACCCTTCACCCTATCTTAAGGTCTCCCTTAAGCTTGGCTTGGTGGGACTGAGGGACACGGGGTGGCTAGGCAGGGGGGTGTCATTTCGGCCATGGCAGCCCACACACGTGGGTGGTCAGTCTGGATGGGTCTATCTAGCAGACATGATTTTTCTGTTTTTGCTGCTTCTCATTTGGTCCTTGGATCCAAAGGGGAGAGAGCTGCTGCTGAGCGGAATGGGAAGGGAAGCTGCAGAAACTGCCAGGTGAGGGCTTCCCTGGTGGCACAAGGGGTTAAGTCTCAGTGCCATGAAGCTATCTATCCCAAGCTGCCCAGCTCTCTGCAGCTACTGCTGCACCAGTAGATTCCCTTGCTGGGAGCTCTCCCCATGGGGGTGCAGACTTCTCCTGTCTCACCTGCTGCTCCCCTCAGCAGTGTATTTCACTCCATTTGCCAGCCTTTCTGCTCCCCATGCTGTCTCTGGTGAAAGAGACACCACCAAAACACAGCCACCCACACCCATCCTCAAACCTCCCAGCACACACACAAACACATACAGCCCCCACACACCCCTCTGGCCTACACTCCAGCTCTTGTACCCAAAGCTATATAAAAATCAAGCCGAAAAGAGAAGAGACAGGTTAGGGCAGAGCAGGGCAGGGCTCTGACATGCCTTTGGGGGAGTAGCTGGGGGAAACTCTGTGCCCATGAGACCCAGTATAAAGAAAATGATGAAAATCATGCGATTTGGGGCCTTCCATGCAACAGACAGTCCTGTGTAACTGGTCACGCTATGTTCAGTTTTCCAACATTTGGACCTCTAGCAGGCAACAGGCCAGGCGGGCCTTTAGGTACAACAATATATCACTTGAGTAGGCAGCCAGAGTTTGCTGTTCTGCCTCTCTCGGTTGAAGTCCCTCTTGCTCTGTCTGCCCACATGCCTGTAGGGGGTCTCAGTAGGAAAGTTCTGCAAAACCAGCGCCAAATCTCCAAAATTCTCCTTTCAGTCTGAACCTACCTGGCCTGGGGTATTTGCAAGATTCCCAGCTTGTCCCGTGGAAAGCTGATGGGCCAGGGCAAGGGAGCACGCTCTACAAGGAAATGAGAGAAGTGATTGGCGATTATTATAAGCAGACTCACCCTGGCCCTCCCTGGTGGCACAGTCGGGTTAAAGCACAACACCGAGAAGCTAAAGCCACTTCCGCATGAGTTCGATTCCCACCTGCCCCGGAGGTGACCACATGGTGTGGCAGACCTCTCCTGACCTGTCCACTGCTCCCCTCAGCAGTATACTTAGTCAATCTGTAACAGAGTGGTCCCTAGGAA